TGTAATTTGTTCAATTATTTCGCTCTCAAATTGATCGTAATTTTCCATAGCAATAGGGTATTAGGCGGTATCGAAGCGCAAACGAAAATAAGCAGATAATAATGATGTGCCGTCGTCAATAAAACTCGACATCTTTTGAGGGAGAGGTCCAATCCACGCGCGGCACAAATTGATCATCGTAATTTTCTTTCATTGTAGATATCGGAAGCCGATTGTTGCGCTCGATAACAGGCAATGCAAATAATGTATTTGTATTTTGCCATTTGTCGTTTCGTGCTTTTGATATTATTTTATATATATATTTTAATATTAGCCTTTTTTTAAATTTAATATTGTCGTAGTTTTTATAATTACATACCATCCCAAAATACAAGCTTTTGCTTAGTTTGGGATTCGGAAGCTTAAACATTTTATATAAGTAGCACGTGCATACAATCATTGAAATAAGTTTTTTTTTTATATATATAACGTACCTATTGTTTTTAATTTTACGTGTACATGAATGAAATAAATATTATTATTATTTAAACTCAGCAACGTTTTACAGTAGGCACTTAGTACTTATGCATAAAAGTACCGTTGTATAATTCCTTGTTACATTTTTTCTGTCCATGAATACCGTCCTTGAACCTCACAAACCTGAAAGAATAAAGATCGCGTAAACTGTCTTTGCACCTGTTGTTTATGAAAAGCCAATGCTACTTCGTGGGCACTTTCAAGCAAGAGCTTAGTTTTCACCACGTTCCGTATTTTTGCCTAATTAGGACAAGTGCCGGCTGATAGCCGCTGCAAGCACGGCTTAATGCCAATTACCTGCGCACCCCATTGTTTCAGTGTCAAGTATCGACTGCAGGAGCTCCGTGCCGCTAGCGGTCCGCGGCTTAGTCTGCTGATTTATCAAATACGCAAATATAAATAGCCATGTGAAGTGCCACCGTTATATTCTCGTTATTGTGAAAAAGTGAAATATCGGATATTTAATTATAACACCTTGTTACTTGATATCGCATGTAGCATTAAATAAAAAAACCTAGGTTAAAAATATTGTTCTCTTCCTTTCAAAGCGGCGGATCAAGCAAGCTTTTTACGAAGATTCGTTTCTTCATAATTTATTGCAACTCAGACGCAAGCTATTTTTAAAATCGTTGCACATGAAAAATATCCGAAGAAGCGAGGCATATTGCACATTTTTTAATATCGGCGTACTTTTCTGCTACCAATACTTCACGTAATATGAATCCGGGTAGTAAATCGCATAAAGTACGACGACGCAATGAACGGAACGGGGAAAGCGACGGCAAAAATTAATTTCATGTGATGAATGATGAACGATGACGTTGCAATTTACAATTTTCAGTGAAAGTATTAAATCGCAACAAACCGAACGGGTTCCACTACAAAACCGACATGACAGCAGGATATGGTTGCGTATCTGAAACATGTTACTGTCGAACATTAAGGTTAACACATTATCAAGTTACAAAAACCCACTATTAGCATCCTAACACGTAGGCAAATCTTTCAGAGATTTGTTTTAGACCGTGTCACGGCGCACCCCTTTATTCAGTTATGCGACATCAAAAGATGTGACATCAGAGGGCGCATATTCGATACGGAAACTGTACCAGGATTATCCCATCGTAAACAAACAACCGTCCACAAAGCCCGACGAACTGAGAGCTCACGTGAACTATGCTAACGAAAAGACGATAAAACCTTTATCTTATTACGGATCTACTCTTACGAAAGCTCCTACGATACGCTTCCTCACTCGGGTCACCATCCCATTTAGTCGTAATTTTTTGGACTGGATAATAGCAGTTAACTTTTTTCGCTCTTAAACGTGTTAACGTAAAGTTTATTTTCAGGAGCACATTTAAAATTTTCAAAGCTTGTTTTAAAAGCCGTGGCGAACGCAGTGTGCACTTTGCCGAGACGGTGTTGGAGTGTTAGTAGACAGGGGAATGGATAAACCATATATTTTTAAAGGTTTCCGTTGTCGGCTCGTAAAGAATGATCCGACGTCTCGGGCGACACCATTACTTCTCGTGGCCCATGAAAAATTCATACAGCAGCCGTTTGATCGCGTTAACGTGCGGTGTCGTCGCGGTGCGCGCATGCCTCGGGGGGGCGTTAAGCACGGCTTATGGCATGATGCTTGCAATACCATTGCCATGCGCACTAGCTGTAAATTTAATTTATCTACACCACGTACTAGCATTTTCCATTCATAAGTAAACGCGGTTTACTATGTATACATTCCCGACCAAAAGTTTAAGACCACTCTTATAAAAGTGGGAAAATGAAATAAAACTAAAAAACTTGAAGGTATACGAAACTTAAAGTTAAATTGTCATAAAATATATAAATGTATATACATTCACATATTACACAGCTTAAAATAATAGTAAAGAATATATATAATTTTTTTCTATTTATTTATAAGGCACCAATAAAGTACACCATAAATACATTACAATCTAGCCAAATACAAGACTAATAAGTAATTTACATTTCACTTAATCTAATATATAAACAAATTATACTAAGAATTCACCCACGGGCAATCTATTAAGGCGAAGACACTTTTATCATGTAATCTTTTTGTTTTGTCCGCTTTAATCGCCTTATGATATTGTGTGGTCAAGGAGTTGAATGGCCTCGACGTCCACATGATGGTGAACCCTGTGTTGATGGGCTTTGGCGTATTTCTGTACGATCTTGTTTACGAATTCCATTTCCAAGTCTCGATGGAGGTCTTCTATTCGTACGTACCAAGGGCCATTCACAATATTCCTAAGTATTTATTCTGGAAACGTTGAATAACATCTATGTTGGTCTTTGCGGTGCAGCCTCTTAGCTGTATACCATAGGTCCAAACTGGAGTTAGGATCTGCCTATACCATAATAGTTTATTGCTTACAGATAGTCTAGATTGTCTGCCAAGCAACCAGTCATTGACTTACTAATAAACAGTACATATTTATGTAACGAATGTCTAGTTCTTCTCTTTTTTTCTTGACGTGGGCTTTCCAGTGAAGCTTAACGTCAAGTGTCATGCCAAGATATTTGGCAGTATTTGCATATGGTATCTGTTTGTTGTTAACAAATACCGGTTGATAATTGGGTTTCTAATAGGTAAAGTCTATATGCACTGACTTTGTTTCGTTGAGCTTAATGCGCCATATTTTTGGCCATTCGTAGAATATATTCAAAGAATGCTGTACCTTTTCTGTTGCTTCATTATGGGTGCTTCCAACAGCCATTATTGCTGTGTCATCAGCGAAGGTAGGTAAGATGCTGTTTTCTAAGTCTGGAATATCATCATTGTATAGCAAGTAAAGAATAGGGCCTAGTACAAGTGTACAAGGAAGTCCTTGAGGTACTCCAGCCTCATTTTTCTTCAGTACAGGGAAGGCTTGCAAATAAATGGATTTTTACAAATGTGAAACGATTTAAATAGTTTCTTTGGCAAAAAATTGTCCTTTGCATTGTATTACTTTCGGCATAAATCTTGACTTACAAACAATTAATTTATTAATATATCTTCGAACATATTGTTCCCGCTTTCGTATAAAGCCTTCCATATTCATGTCTTCCTGGGAAGAGGGACACCTACCACTGATATTCTTTCCGTATCCAGCTTGCTTTTCCTAATACACTTCAATCAAGTTGAGATCGGGAATATGAGGTCGATATATCTTGTTCTTCAAAGTATGTTCCAACTCGTTGCTCTCGAAATAACATCTACATAATTTAAAACTATGTTTCGAATCATTGTGTTGTTGAAAAATAAATCCGTTGCCAACTACATTCAGCCCCGAAGAAAATCAGTTTATTCTACTCTTCTTTCATATTTTTTTCGATTTGTACCAAGTGTCCGGTTTTATTGCCCGAGAAATAACCCGAAACCATAACAGCATCCATCATCAAGCTTGCCGGTTGGCACCACACAATCTGATATCAATTTCCTCCGGTGCTACATTGAACGTAAATGCTTCTTTCTCAACTAAATATTTCAAATCTCGTTTTATAAGTCCAAAAGACTTTAAAATCTTCTTTTGGCCAATATCGACTAGTAAGACCAACATTGCATCTGTTTCTGCTTGTTTTGTTACCTTAAAAGAGGTTTCCAGACGGTCATGCGAATAACTTAGCATTCCTCATTGTCTTTTTACTGTAGTTACTGCCACAGTTTCGATTGAGATTAGTTTGCTTTGACGCATATGTCTTGCATTGACTGTTACGTGCCTATTTCGTTTGGTCGTAACAGCAATGAAATTGTCCTCACTAGAAGTGGTAGCTTTCAGTGCTTCTTGAACTGGGATGATCTCTATTACTGAGAGCTTCCTTGTATCATTATATTACAATTTTAGGTTGACAATCATATGTTACTCGGATGTACCTCCATTCTATGAAACAATAATAACAAATCGTATTTCTGTGCTAAATTTACGTGCTTTTCCCATTTTCAGACCATTTCTGGAAGCCCCAAGTTCGGATTCAGTAAGATTGTCCACTAATTTATAAATAATAGAGTAATCTTTAGAAAATATCTCTGTTAGGAAACAAACACAACGACATATATTTTTTAAATTAGCCTATTATTGTGTCCAATGGACAAAGGTCTCTTCTCTTGATTTCCACAATTCCCGGTTTGACCGGTCCAAGTCATTAGTCCAGTCAGTGTTAAATAAACCCGAAATAATTCGCATCGTGGGTCATAAAAATATAGCTATTCCTCTACTTTATTGACATTGGTTTATGTAAAGAAGCAATGCGCTCTATTGCGCATTTACACGAGGATTGCATAAAACAATGGCTTTTTAGATATTCTTTAATGATAATAACATATACAGGAGCCCAAAAGCTTGTTTTATTAATAACACTTTTAGTATTTTGTAAAGATAACGACAGTTTTTACAAGCGCTATCAAACTTTTGTTCGGCAGTGTATATGCTAGTGAGATAATATGCTTAATGTGAATGTATTTGTTGCAGTGGACCTCCTTCAAATGCTGGAATTCAACGTGACCGTTTCATTTCCCGCCGCTCCTTTACTCACAGTTATTTTGGCGCTAGTCGGTGAGTACATTTGGTTATATTATCGATATTTTATAAGGATCATAAGAACAAACCTTAGCTACTCCTGTCGCCAAGCAGTGATGTGAGCATTACTGCGTTTCGGTTGCTGAGGAAATTACCGGCACATGGGACTTGTCAACTTATATCTCAGAGTGACAGGTGCAGTGGGGCAGTGTCCCTCAGATCTTTGCTATTCAAAGCTCTGAGTGACACTGCAATTGCATGGAAAGCCGTGTCGGCTTTTTCGTCCCGTCACTTGGTATCATAAAAAAAGCAAGTTATAATTTAATATCACCAAATTTACGATAAGAAATGGTGGTAATTAAACAATTTTCACCATTTAAACGAAGTGAATGATGCCGAAGACCTGAGGTGGCGACGTGTGACACTCATGGATCTCTTCTCTTGTCTCTAGTCTCTTTGACACGTTTGCATTGATATGTATGTGCCTCTCCCACTCGCTATTCCTATGTTGACAGCTTATTTGTACAATGTAATCGTACCTTTGGTGTAATGTGGATTTAACATGTTATTACACGTGCTTTTGTCACATGAAAGTCATAAAATAATACGATCTGTTCTAATTATTTCTTTCGCAATCAATCGATAAAACTATCGACATCTACATAGCTATTTAAAATTGTATGAATATTGGCAACTCTGCAAATGTCATTTTACTCCGTCTTCAAAAAAGACAGACTATACGTGAAAGAAATTATGTGAAGTTATCAAACTTCCCCCCCAAAAAGTCCCCTATTGAAGCATAAAAAGCCTTCGACTAATTTCGTTCGTAGAATCTTTAAACCTCTCTCCTGAAAAGTTGTCATTGTGCATATCGTCGGGAATAGTGCAAAGGCGTGTGTGTAGCATTGGTAAAAGGCACGTATCTTCACGAGATCAAAGTTTACAGTAGAGCGTTTAAACAATAGTAACGACTTTCATTTTTGCACAGTAAGCATTAATTGAAGTTATTTACGGAGTGATAACAATAGATTCCAGTATATCAGGCTAATTTGGTTGCCACGACTTTACGCGGATTTGGTTTGGCCACTAATTTACCGAAATGGCAACTTCATGCTAGTTACGCGTAATTAGACTATTCCCAACGATAGTGTTATGAACAATCATGTCTGTTACAATACAAATATACAAAACTGGCTAAAAAGTATTACCAACAAAACTAATTCTGAAAATACACCTCATGCGAACCTTTTTTTTGACATTGATATGCTTTTGACGTAAACACTTCGTGACATTTGTATCTTAACTGTTTGAAATATACATACGATCTTAGAATAATAACGCATAGAATGATAGTTTCATATCAAACGAACTGTCACAAGTGAGGCAAAAATCAAATTCATGTAGGCTAGTTTTAGTAGTAGGTTAATTTTCGGTTTTAGTGACTATTTATATAAAATTACAAGTTGAAACGCGTTACTTCCTTGTAGAATGTGATGTTAGTATCTATTTTATGTTTGCCTGACGTATTTTTACACTCATTTACCGCACATTTCGTCATTTTTAGCTAAAATTCTGGAGCTGTTCGCGGTGCAAGTTGACCTTGAGCACTGAAGCCCGCTCGTGTAGGCCCTTTGGGAGCGCTTCAATTTGCCTCACTTAGCGTGTGCGGACTAGGTTTCTATGCGTTATTATTCTAAGCATGCGATGCCAATAATGATATGTCTTTGTTCATAATTGTGAGTATAGTAGCGGTAAAATATAAAGCATTAGTATGTTATTAAAATTCTTGATTGGGTGTTTCATCCTGCCGTTATCAGGGACCTAATCGTTTCATTTGACATCTCCTTTTAGTCGTATTCTTCATTGCTGAAGGTCGTGTACTCGAAAAATTTGTTTCCGTCTGATTCTGTTTTCGGCTTCTCTTTCGGACCAAGTGATGGTTACTTGGTCACTCCATCGGCTCGGTGATCAACCGCGGAGTCTCTTTCCCTCTATCTTACTCACCACAAGCGTGTTGTCAAGGTTGTCTGGTTATCGGCGAGCAACATGACCAAAATACTTCAGAATTTGCAATCCAACATTCTTAAAATACATGACTCAATGCTTCAGTTTGAAGTTTAGAATTGTTTTTTCAAATATTCGAATTTCACTTTAAACTTCAGACTGTCTTTTAGGTTATGTGATTCGGAGCAAGACAACCTTCGGTGGAACATATTTCATTATAATCTATTTCTTTGAATTTCTATTACTAATATAATCAATAAGGCTAACTGGTAACATCATACAAGGATAATACGCCAGCGAATATAGCTAGCTATGATTAGATCTATGCTGGGCGCCAATAGAGCAATTACGATAATGGAGTGGTGACATTTTTATCCTTATTTAACTTTTTTTTTATATACAGTACACCTCATATTTGTTTCTTTTTCCCTTAACTTGTTATTAATTTAAAATTTAGTTCTATAATATATTGTTAAGCCGAATGCAGTTCTTTCAACAATACTATAATTGGATAATTTTCAGGTTAGTTTCCTGTACCTAATTTCGATGGCAATTTTTATTATTTAAGTATTCGAGTAAATTATCGTGAAATGTTAAATAATATTTCACGTTACGAAACTCGAATATTAAATAATACTTCGAGATAATATTCCACAATATTTAAATAATAGAAATTGCCACCGAAATTAAATAATTAACCTGAAAGCTATCCAATTACGATATTTTAAATTTAATCTGTACAACTATTATCTGTTAGACTGTTCTACAATCTCAATTAAAGACACAAGTCCTTTAAAAGACATACAGTAAAAAGTTGTCTTCCGTTATCAACAGTTATTCGGAAAAGGCGTTGCGATTATTTTTGTGTTGCAGAAATTGGAGTGTCTCGCGTCTTTATGGTTACGTTAGTAGGTCGGTCGATTCAACAAGTAAGTCGGGTGAGCCTGTTGCGCGCGGGCGGGGGGCGGGGCGCCTGTTGCGCCTCGCAGACGCCGCCGCCGCCCACCCTAGTACCGCCCGACCAGGCCCATCCACTCGCCTCTACTCCTGACCCACTTCCACAAAATTCTCTACTTCCCGATCACCCCACTTTAACAACCATCTTGCCGAGCTGGATTTCTTTTCAATCGCCGTTACGGCGATATGCTACGGCTTTACTCATAGGGCACCGTTTATCAAATATCTACGTAACGATTGCTTGTTGCCCAGCAAGTTTTTTTACAACGACATTATTTTTTTAATGCGCTGTATATCCGACAATGTCTATTTGTTTCGCGTCTCGCTTAAATTGCCCAGACTTACGGCCAGTGTGTCAGACACTGGAATTCCTGTTGCGTTCCTGAAATGCCTTGTAATGGTTAACTTGGCGATTTCATATATATTTTTATCGTAACAACAAAACACACGCTATCTGAACACATCGCGACAATTTGTTGTCTTTTGACATTAACATTAAGTTGACAAGACGCAAACACGATTGTTTCGCTAACGATTTGTTTGTTTTCCTCGATACCATCAAATGTAAACTAATGCCTGTTTGGGTTTTATTTTCTTCGAACGATTTCGATCGTGATATTTTCTTTTGCTTAACTTTTAAGAAATTGTAGTCTTGTCTTGTTCGTGAAAACTATTTAGTAAAGTAAGAAAAAAATTAATGAGTCAACTTTTAACTGACTCATTAATTGGGCTTTAATTTAATTGGTTGCTTGGGTAAAAACTTTAATTGGTTGATTTTAATAACTCAACTGCGGTGTACTCAATAAGAGGGTTGTGTTTCCCTGGCGAATGTACTCAAGTTAGCTATTGTATCTACTGGGATTCATTTTACCTGCCTTAATTGTGTAATAGCTGATTTGTAATCAATACCCGCATTATGAACTTCGTCTTGATTTAATTCACGACGTTGAGCAGAATATAAGTTAAAGTAAACAACCTCCGTTTTAAACAATAACAATAGCTGCCTAGAAAGAAGGCATTGCTACAGTATTTAAATATCAACCATAAATCTGACTCTATTTGTTATTTCATCAGCATTATTTAAAGTAATATTTTTTGTTTAAAATTCAAGTGATGTTACGTTATTTATTTTAGCTATGTACTATATAGTCGTTAGCACTAAATTAATATGGCTAGTATTGTAATGTATCAAATTTCAATACAAAATAATACACTGAGGCGTGCAATAGCGTTTCCTCTAGAGTTGTCTTCAAGTTACTTGAATCGAAATACGAAATACGACTGTTTCTTTGACGAGTGAAACGTAAAATTAAATTTGCAACAAATTATTTATAAACTTGGTTGTTCAATTTATTCATGTGAATTTCGTGTTTTTACCAATCTGTTACTATTTTTATATTTAAGTACGTAGTCGATTCCTAATACTTGTCAATTGTATGACCAATAAAAGTAAAATTATCACTTTTATTGGGTGTAATTTTATATCACACGTGATCAGGTTTTTTTTACAAGACACAGATTTCGAGCATAAAACTAAAATCACAAGTTAATTAAATTGGCGTATTATACATACGATGATTACCATTACCCTGTCTGAACCTATGATTTGTTATTATTGATAAGTACATAAAGAGGAAGATTGCTATTCTCCGAATAATTCTTCTCTTTCAAGCACGCTACGTGAGACAGTAACTTAGTTGGACATAATTGTAATGCGTGTTGCCGTTTGCGTTTGCGTCATAATAATAATAACGCACACACTCAACATGGCCTCGCAATAGGGAAACCCTGTGTCACGGGTGCCATGGACACACACATAGACAATCACAAAGTACACCCACACTCACGAGAGAAATAAATGTAGGCCATACAAATATTTCTACCGGCCCGGGAATCGAACCTGAGACGAACAGTCCGGCATGGTAACCGTTCGGCGACAGAGGCAGTTAAAATTCCTATTGTTCACATCACTTTTAGAACAATATTAATGAAGTGAATTCCGAATGTCTGCTATACGCTCCACAGCCAGTCATGGGTTTCCTCGAAATTTAGACCATGGTCACGCTTACCCGGTG